GAAGTTTTCTGTTTTGAGGGTCAGAAATTAGAAAAACTATTTTTTACACCATAAAACCCCCCGTAAAACCCTATTCGCATGGTCCGATCATGATGGTTGCAAACTCTTTCAAGTTTATCCCACCTTACACCTTTAAACCAAATTTCATCAAAATCGGACAAAAATTACTCAACTTATCGCGTTCACGGACGTACATATATACAGGGTGAGGCAGTAAGGGCACCCGGATTTTCTTTCGTTGTCACATTATAAGTAAAGCAAAAATGAATGAAAAGCTGTGCTTATAACATCAATAATACTATGCCATTTCAGTAAACATTCTGTCTGAGGCTTGTAACTCTGAGATTTTGATGTAGGAACCTATTTTTAAAATAGTGATTCTTGTGCAAATACCCAGATATTGTTTGGACCACATTCCATACTTGGTCAATATGGTGCTGTTCCAGATTGGAAAACAATAGAGAACTGGGTAAAATTATTTAGGATAAAATAATCGGTGGTTGCACACAGAGAGCACAGAATGGTTGCACCAGCCATTGTTGAAAGAGTTGTGAGTCGCAATAACTCAAAGTCCAAAGAGTTTTACCAGGATGCTTTCGTTGTTACAAGCTTTACGTTGGCTGTTTGCTTTCTTTGGGGGTTCTCCCTTTAAGCTACTTGAAATTTAAGGTTTTTCAAATTTGCCCTAGGGATTTTCTTAAATTGAAGCTCTCCAAGAAACAAAAGTGATTCCTGAAGAAATGTTGGAAGGAGTATTCAATGGCATTTTCAAGTGACTGAAAAGTCACTTGAAAGTCACTTGAAAAGTCAAGTAGGACAAGAACGACACTTGAAGGATTTTATTTTCAAGAAATGGAAAAATGACTTTGTTAAGTTAAAATGGCAAACGATAAGCTGTGTTTTGATGTGCTATTTATATGTATAGGGTAAATAGTAGTGAATTTGTACTATTTATAAATTGTGGCGCTTTCATTGCCTCACCCTGTATATATAAATTTGAACGAATGGTGTTTTTGGCCTCTGGGGTCATAAAAATGAAAAAGTAAATCGGTCCCGGGCCTAGGTCTTACCGTTCCGCCTACGGCAATAACTACTTCCCTATAGGGAAATTCGCTAAAAAGGACGCAATCATGTTTTACTTTGTCGGACACCAGTCCAGTATTCAAGTAAGTAAGTAAACAAGAAGTTGTTGTCCTAGTTGAATGGTTGAAATCAACATTATAGAATATACAACAAAGACTTAAAAGTCAACGAAATTTTGTGATATAATTTAAAACCTACAGTATTTTAACCTGCAAACAAATTTTACTGTTGGACTTTTACATAGCACTAGTTATTGGATGCATTATCAATATTGTTCCAAGTATCTCATTGTGAAAGATTTACCATGACAACAATTCTTCATCCTCATACTTGGCTTTATACATAAGTATAATCATAGACTAAGCAACGTATGCTTTATCCATGGTATAATACAGCGATTCTAGTTTTTTGGTCACACCACTAAAAGATTTTTAGATTAGCTTAGGACTGATTGTTTTCCATGTACTTTTACTAAACATTCTGAATGGCTTGTCTTTTAATATTTTTTATATTTAAAAAATACATAATTTTTTTCCAAAATGTATGTTAAAATATATTGTTGAAATATATTTACCAAAAACCAAGAAAATCGTAACACAGAAGCACTATTTCATGTAGAAAACATTTTTTTAAGGTATCCAAATGAAGGAGTTGGTAAACAATTTATCTAATTTTATGTGGATCAACAATTAGTATATTACGCTCAACCGTAGAGGAGGGAATAAATAATATAACATTCTTCATTTTATTTTTGGCAGTAGAGTGGAGAGTACAAAGATTGGTCATGATGATTTCATACTATACAACTTCAATTGGATATTTTCGTCAAAACTAAATGAAAATAATGCGAGAAAATTATTATAAACTACAGTAAGTTAAATATTATTTTAATACAAAAGGTAGCAATATAGGCTAGTTATTCAAATATTTTCAATAGGCCTACTATACGTATCGTTTAGGTTATAAACTCGATTAAATTAGAACCGTGTTTTAGTAGGCATAATAAATACAGAAAACCTGTAATATACAGTACATTTATAATGCCATTATTAAAATAATTCTTATTTACCCTATTTAACACGATACTATGGCTATCAGTTGTAACATTGTCCCTGTGTACAGAGAGTTACAGTCTGGCAGGGCAGGTGTGAACACTGAACACTACGTCGACATTTGCGGTGTTGAGGCTTTGATTGTGTTTGTGAAACAACCCCTATCTGAGCTAATTGTTTGGTCCTGCCACTTGTTGGGTGCTTCACATCGCACTTCATGGCTTCTACAACTCCCGGTTTTAAAAGGAAAACTCTCCTAAAACATAATTTAAATAATACTAAAATATACGCTGCAATAATAATTATTTATAACAAGATAAGAAGTTATTATAAGTTTGTTTCACCCTCTAAGAGTTTAAAGAATTTTAAAGTACGAACAATTATTAATTATTTACGTTTCGTTACTTTTGTATATTGTTTTAGACTCCTCCTTTTACATTCTAAGTTTCACAAGATCATAAGAAATTCCTTTAGGGGTTACATAAATTGAAAAAAAGATTTGCCTTATACCTATTTCCCTTTAAATGGACTACTGTTTGTAGCCTTTTTAAGAAACGGAATTTTTGATGGACATTTTTTTTCAGGACGGTGACGTCGTACTGTAATCCAGCTACTAGGAGGTCACGAATTGTGGATATTTGCATGCACTGTGGATACGATACTCCCTGGGGTGGATTAACGTCCGCACTAGTGAGTACCATGACTATGCGCAGTGCTATCCTGATAATTAAACCAATTCGTATATACCAAGGCAAAAATGTGGTTTGGATTCAACTATAAACTGTAGGTCCCTTAGTTGCCATTAGCTGTATGGGCTATTAATTAACAGCTGTGTCTCTGTCTAAGGAATAAGTCGGCCTTAGTCACTAACAAGACTACAAGATCGCGACACTTACCCTACACTCATCTCCATTCATACTTGGCTTATAATACCTACCTTTGTATGGTCGCCATTTCAAAGAAAAAGTATTAGTAAATAAGGCTAATGTCGGCAGATATTTAATGCAGTAGCCGCGTAAGTTAGGAGCTCTACTTCGGGTAATACAGACGCGTTTCTGAATGTAACAATAATTAATTATCCCGCGTCAACGAAATCTCTGGTCTCAGCGCCTTCTGGCTCAGCAACATTTGAATCTATTCATCTGCTTTTAGATGACTCGACAATTCGGTCTTTCAAGCTGTTGAAAACCTCCAGGCATTAATTTTACCCTTTATGCGAAGAGTCATTTTTGAAAATCTTTTTTGTATAAATTCTTTTATTTATAACAATTTCTGTTATTTGTTTTGAAATAAGTACAAAGTATTATATACGTTTTTCGATCAAGTTATGTCAATTTTCTAGCGAGCCAACAATAGGCTTAAAAATATTGATGTTGCGGATATCCAAACTCCTTATACTAAAAAGATTAGTGGTCTTACTCCAATTTTATAAGTACAAAAAAAGTAAATTATCTTTTTCGATGCCAAGGTATGCTTTAAACTGTAGTTTCGCATTTCTTGTTTTGAACTAATTGCGTTTTGTGTAAGCCTGTTTTGCAAAAAAAAGAGCTAGATACAAGACAAACTTAATTAAACTTTTTTTTCTTCCAATATAAGCCCAATTGTATATTTGTGTCACTCAGCAAATCCTACGCTTTTCATTCATGTAAACATTTAGAGGAATGCTTTATTGAAGTTTAGGTGTACCTATGTAATTTATATAGGCCTACAAAATATCATTAAATCATAAACAAAACTAAACCCATCAATTGGACTAAATATTGAACACAACAAATGCAAACATTAGATTCTCATCTTACAAATTGGAACGGCCGTGTATGGACGAGCATTTTTAAGTAACTAAGCTTTATTAGTTTTGAAACTTGCCGTGTAAAATGATAATATTTTAATTCGATGAAGGAATGGCTGTAGCGGATCTGTGGTTCCGGTTGATTAGTTTCAGCCAGGAGTGATTAAGCAGGATTATAATCAGCGAGATGTCTGCGTATCAGATCTAGCTTAACTGAATTGAATCCTTTGAGGGGACTACCATAGTAAAAACCCCTTTGTTTTTCTTTTTCTTTTTAACATGTCCTTGGATATGACCTATGCCACTATCATAAGCTACTTATTATTTATTCGCGGCTTATTTGAGCAGAAGATTTCATAATTTTTTCGACAGAGTAAATTCAAATTCAGTTATAATTTTTAATACAGTAGGCCTGGATGCAATAAAACGTTTGGTACGTTCGGCAGTGCGTAAGTGGGGTGTTAATAGTTATGGAAGTGAATATATTTAGCTATACACCATTACCGGTACCTCTAATTTAAGTACGTGTAAGTAATTTAAGTAAGTGTTAAGTATACAGGTAATTTTAGTATTGTAATGCCCTAATCGATATATAATACGACGCTTATTGGGATTACAGGGCATTATAGCTTGTTGTGCAATTAAAAAAAAGTTAAGTCGTGTCCGTCAAGTGTAATGCAGACTTTAAGAAAGGTTAAGAAGAAAGATTGAGCAACTTTGATTATGGTTTTAATTGTTTGTGTAATATATGACTAATTAGATAGCGCGCACGAAGACAAAAATGTTTATACGACGTATTTTAAGTTGATATTGTAGGTAATCTTTACCATTATACAACAGTAAATATTATGTAAAATTCTCCCTACATAATATCACACACCAAAATGTAAACATGATCATGACAAACTAACAGTTAATAGTATTGTTTATGTTTCAACTGGTAACGCAATAATGACAGCGGTTGATTGACACGTTTAACAACATGTTGTCAACAACAATGTCTTTGGTCGAGTCTCCTTTACGAACTGGACATTATTAGTGCTATGTTTGTATAATATGTTTACATTAAAGGTTACCTGGTCTGTGATGTTCGGGACCGACTATACGCTATCACTACTCGACAGACACTAAGCCAAGCAACAGGTTGATGCGTCCGGGACCAGCGCGTGCGCCATTTGCAGTGGACACAACTGTACCGCCACCGCGACAATCGATATTGGCAAACTAGACAACGGATGAAACCGTTATCTTTCTATTTCTCATCAAGGATCAATTATTAAATGATTTAAACATTCAGCCAGCAAAGAAAACAAATCATCCGATTACCTTTTAAGTGATGGGTCGTAAGATTATTTTGTATGACAGCAGGTATACTTCACCCCTTTTCCATTACAAGATATTTTATATTATGAGATATATTTTAACATGCACTAGGCCCTACATTTTGTTAAAGTGTATAGTATTCAAATACTGTCCAAAGGAGGTGAAACGTGACCGATACACGGTAAAAATTGAAATGAGATTCGGACAAATCTTGGAGACCAAAAACATAAAAGATTTAATGCAGGAAACTTTAAGGAAAATGTTCAATATTGATGTGAATTTTTTTATATAAATTCCTGCAAAGCAGATTTTTCGTTTTTAAGGTAATTAGTCCAAATTAGATATATAAATTTGTTACAAAATATACTCATACGTTCATGTAGCTCTTGGTGAAACAAAAATATCTTAAACAGGATGTAGCCACCATGTCGCAAAGTGTAAATGATATCATGGTGCTAACTGATCAATCGGCCATCTGAAGCCTACACCTTCACAGTAAAATATATTAAGGAGTATAATTCACCTATCTTGTTGCCTTCGTTTTTGAGCTGGAGGTTCACATTCCCCCCACGTTTATTTCTCCAGCTTGTTTCACATCTTCAGCGGTTGACGAACACACGGTGGATTCATAGGTCTTTCCTCCTCTTTATTATTTCTTGTACTCTACTCACTGTAGAGAGAATATAGGCTACATAGTAAATATTTTGCTTAAATATATAGAGTGATATATATTAGATTATTATTGATATATCTTAGTGATATGAAGATAGAACACCCCAAAACGACATGACGAGGACAACAAAAATGTAGTTAGTATAATTCAAGTTTTTGAAACTGGTATGACACAGAGGGTTGACCTTTTACATTTTAAGTTATGTTACATGTGACATTCTAATGAAGTAATATACAGCTGTAGGGTGTGTCGGGAATTGAACCCGCCCCTCCAGCACCGAAGTCCGAGATGCCAACCACTTAGGTTTTATCTTTAACACCCCTTTTCTGGCTGTCCTGCTTAACCAATGTTTATAATTGAGGTGTAATGTTAAAGCTTATCTTGCGCATGGGAACTTTATATCACCGTATATTTTTAAAATACCATCCTAGTAATTTTATAATATGAAAATTTGAACTCATTTTAAAGAAAGATTGTTTTGGCAATCTATCGCTTAATTGTTAATTTGTGAGTGGTTTACGTATTGATAGTCATTTTTCTTAAAATTCAAATGCCTTTCTTGTAGCATAGCAAAATGTTAGAAAACAATGAAAATTTTTCAACCAGTGATGTATAAAATAATAGTATCTATAAAACGGTTGAAGTCCAAATTACTGTTAGAAGACACCAATTTATACTATACCTTAACCATCCAAGTAGTACTAATGGTTCAGAAACTAGGTAACTGACCAAGGAATCAAAAACCATTGTGTTGTAAAATAGAGTGCTGAGAAAAATACATGGACCAGTAAAATATAACGAAGGCTGGAGGATATAAGAAAGCTTAGAGAAATGTATAATCCCCAGATAAAGTGGTGATGTCCAAAAGTAAAGAGCCAGCATGGGGACGCCATGCGTGGAGTAGAGAAGATAGTTTAAGATGCCATGGTGTGTATACATAAATGATTTAAACTATGACTTAAACTTAGAGCAAATGTATTAATATTTAGTCATTGCATATACAATCGCAATCATAGACCATCATTTGATGATATAGTGATTTCAATCAGTAAGATCGTTTATTTAAGTTTTACCAACATTAAATCTGAAATAGTGTACCTGTTGCTCGAATTCGAGCAGTTGCGAAGTATTACAGGCGATATTTTAAAATTAGTAACAGTCATAATTTCCGATGGCCTTAAAAAAGTCGACTCAAGATAATGGAAATACTCATGATGTACATAGCAGTTCGATAATCTACATTTCTTGTAAATATCCATTTTTCATAACTGATCTTGGTTTTATTGTTTTCTACAAATGTTTCCCCCTAATAGCCTTATTAGTTTGTCCATAAAAATGGTTATAAATTCTAAAAAAATCATTATTTCTATGTCTTTTACTTGGTGGTGTTCTATGACTTTCCAATGTTTCCATAGTTTGCAAATCGGCTCTTTCAATGATTGCTCAAGAAATGCAGGACACTGTAATTCAATTTTCTTTTTAGTTTATCAAACTGTCCAGGCTTTCTCGTATTTTTTCTATGGTAATATTTACGCCGACCGAAATTCTTAAATGAAATATTTATTTTAAGCCAAGTGAGTAATGTTTGTAGCTCACGTTTCCAATTGCAACCAAAATTAACAGCAATTAAATTATCCAGCTGATCAAAATGTAAACAAATATGTTCCTCGTGAGGATAACATGGGTACCTAAAAAGCCATTGGGACAGAGCCCAAGGAACTTTTTTTAATGTAGGGTCAGTTTGAAAATCGTCACACCTAAACGAATATTTGTGTATATATTATGAGGGATTAAATATTAAAACAAAAAAGCCTTATTGTTCACAAAGTTTTATGAAGCGTATTAATAATATAGTTTATATCTATGACACGTAATTTCCTCAATCAACCTTTTACTGTAGTCTCAATCAGTGTTATAAATGTGTTAGGCTTTTCAACAAGTATGTAACACGAGACGACGTAGTTTTCTAAGACAGACTTTCCCAGCTATTCCGACCCGGGCGCGAGCACCTGTTGCACACAATCAATACCTTGATAACACCAACACCCAACAATAGCAACCTCCTGTACTATCTCACCATTGATAACAACACTTCCTAGAACAATATCCCTGCGTTACAGGTAGGCCTATCAGTCAACTCTTCCCTTTCATTAATGTGCTGACGGATACCAAAATAAATATGGAAAGTGTAACAATCGTTTTGGGGCACTTAATAATTTTATCTCTAACACAAATACAGTTTTTAATTAATAAAAAAGTGTATCTCAAGGTAATGACAAAGTATTTTTAATAGTATAATATCGGCACTATTGTAGTGGACTTGTTTCCAAAACAATGAATAATGTAAGATTAAGTTTTACAGCGACAATTGTATTTTAATGTAACACGGGTGGATACTGTGTGACACCATCCATTAACCAAGAGGGTATACAACAATCACAATTACACCCTATTCATCGCTTATTGTTTTAAAACCATCCCGATTTAGTAAAATAACTGTAGCTAAGGTTACAAATCTTGGCCCGTGATTAAAAAAAGGTTTTAAGATGCAAATAAAACTATTATCTATTATAAAAATTTAAGTTCTTAAAAATATCAACTGTTTCTATTAAAATTAAGCTATTTTAAATGCCACAATTATGGATTATTAGTAGTTAGCCAGCGCTCGTTGCTTTGCTTGAAACTATTATTTTAAATGGTAATTTGTTCTTTACGATAAATAATAAAAATGTATACAAAAAAAAAATTAATACATGAATTAACAGTGTTTTTTTTCATTAAGTGTATAAATTTTTAGGCGTACTTACCTCCATGTAGGCACGCAACATACAGCTATCCGTGTGAAAAGCATGCATTTTTCTGAATTTAAACAGGTGATAATCAGGGATTGCCCTTGTGCCTTATAATGGTGAATGCGAAAGCAAGACGCAAAGGAAATTGTAGTCACTTCAATTCAAAGAGTAATTCGGATGACAGACATCATCGGTATTCTTGGGATTAAGACTATTTCTTCTTTAAACTTATCACTGATGATTGTTGCTTCGATCAAATTAGGTGTCATTTTTTAAATCGTCAGTCTAATTTCGTTGCACAGCTTGGGTGGATTTAATTTTCGTATTATTATTATAGGAGTTCTCCTCTTTTAATGACAGTAGTTTAGTGGGTTACTGACAAATTAGGAGTCATTTGAATACCTGAGATAGCGCGCACGATTATTATTCACTTAATAATTAATTTATGTTAGATTGTGTGGGTATAGAACAAAATATAAAAATATAAAGATATTAACATCCCTTTTATTGTTTATAATACTTTGATAACGGTTTTTACTTTTTATATTTACATATTTAATAGTGGAGAATTTAAATTTTGTTGAGCGCACAGGTGTGCTGCGATTTGGGTTTAATATATTTGAACTTATCCAAAAGTAAAATAGTTTTCTGTGCTGCATTCTGTGGAAAAGTCGGACATAGGACCTATTAATTTTATTAGTGAATTGATCATTTTACTATGATTAATAAATTTTTTATTTCCTTCAATATAAACCCTCGTAGGCGGAGCCCTTTTGACGGATCTGCTTTCAAACTTCACACAAACCTTCTTTGAATAAGGCTTAATAATGCCTGAAAGTTTCATTACAATCTGTAGAGCGGTTTCGGAGTCCATAGGGTAGGCCTATATACATGCATACATACTACCTCTTTTATAGATATAGATAAACTAATTTACAAAATGGTCGGCCCCATTATATGACTTATATCAATGAAACGCCACAGGTTTTTAAGGATGCATCAAAATTGTTTGCAAATTTTTTGCTCACTTCTTGTTTATTTTGCTTTCTTCGTGTACTAAGTGATGTAACAAAAGCTGCTACACGAGCATTTTCATAAATGTACAACTTATAAAAATTATTATAAATTATTCTAAAATTGAAATTGCAAAGCTGAATTTGAATGGTATTAAATATTCCCAAATAAAACAAATTAAAGAAAGTATTTATGAGTTGACAAGCTCCACCGAGGCGATTTCAGGGTCTCCTTTAGCATTGTTACGTGTAATCGCATTACGTAAAAGTTTTTGGTAAAGCTCCAGTGTATAGAACTTGGGTGAAAAGTTGCTATCGGCTTATATAAAATACTACTAAATTATACTAAATAACA